AATTAGGTTAATTTCCCCTGTATTCATGTCTCGAGTATAGTTTTTTTATTTTGGCAACTACTCATGAGTATAAATGAAGGCCAATTTCCATTACTTTAATGAAGGAGTTAGTTCCATGCAATCAGCTTAGTGATTCGTGAAGGTCTGCTTTAGAGAAAACCAGTCTCTTTTCTTTATTATTTCCTTTGGCGGAATTGCTTTTGTTTTGGAATGGTGTCAAGGCAAAGCAATCTCCTTAAAATAAGGTTGAAGCAACAGCAAAAGCCCAAACAAGAACACACTGAAAGTAGATAAATAGAGTCAAGTGTTTGATAATAGCAAGAGGGAGAGACAAACCAAAGGAACAAGAACATGAATACCAACAACTCGAGAGCTACAACTTCAACCAAAAGTAAGCTACCGTTCGACGAGAACGAAGAAGAAGAGATATGGCGAAAGTTTCAAGCCCGAGAAGAAGAGATCGAGAGGAAGAAGACAACCGTTAAGGAGAAGGTTCAACAGCGACTTGGGTTTGTAGAAGAAGCCACAAGAAGCTTGAGTCAGACATTGGAAGTAAGTCCAATATGTTATTCACACCCCGATACATAGCATACACTTGTAAAATGCATATGAACGACTTTCAATGAAAACTTTATACATCATTTATTAACCAACACCAATATCGTCTTAAAGGAGCTAGAGATCATGGGAGATCCAATGAGGAAGGAAGTAGGGATGTTAAGAAAGAAAATCGATATGGCAAATCGAGATATCAAATCTTTGTCTCAGAACTGCCAGAAGAAGGTCTCATCTAAGTCTCTATTAACTATTTTGCTTTACCTCTACAACTCTTTTATGTCCATTACTAATCACACCAAATTATAAATGCCAGGAGAAGGAATACAAAGAGATACAGGACGCTTTCGACGAAAAGAACAAAGAGAAAGCTCACCTTGTTTCAATCTTAATGGAGGTAAATCGATCATACCCTATCACAGATCCGATTCTCTTAGACTTTTAGCTTTCCGAGTTGCAGTTGTAATGCTAATCGCAATCTTGGTGATCTTCTTGGCAGCTACTGACTGAAAGTGAAAGATTAAGGGTAAAGAAGCTGGAAGAGATCAACAAGACTGTTGGATCCTTGCGATAATGGATTCTAACTTCTACACAGAAACCTGTTTGAGGTTTCTACATTTAATATGGATTTATGTTCCTTTTTAAAAGTGAGAAAACGTGTAAAAGAATGTAATGAAGAAAATGGTTTGCCTCCGGGTTTTAGAAATTCAGACCTAAAGACGGTTGTTTCTTCTTGTGAGCTCTTCAATCAGATTAGAAGGGTTTTGTATTCTTCCAGCAACTTCGGGATGTCATCCATCCGCAACTGAGAATAGCAATGGAAATTAGACATGTCAGATCCGCATGTGGATATAAATGAACCTGATGTTTGTTTGAGATGCATAAAAATTGTATACCAAAAAGTAAGAAGATGCATAGAAATTGTAAACCGAAAAGTAAGGAAGAGATGGGAGTAATGCATATCCTCAATAATCCTGGTATGCATCACAGTGATAGTATCTATTTCTTAAGGGATTTTGCGTATTGGATATTCTAGGTGCAGCATACAAAAAAACTAAGAAAACTTTTTTTAAAAAGGTATAAGTTTTCAAATCAACTTAAGAAAAGATTATTTAGGCTCAGAGCCACAGAAGTCAAGAGTCATCGCGATAATGCAACAAGTTGGTCGATTGGTGTCAAATGTTCAGCAGAGCTAATAACAGGAGGAATGTATGTGGTTTTACCTCGGAAGAACTTCTGATATGATAAAACGTAAAGGTCTTCTTTCCGGGGAGGCCAAAATCAGCACACATGAAGCTGCTCTGTGCTCTGAGACACGCCCGCCACAACAATGGAAACAAATATGTGTGAAGGAAACGAAGAAGCAAATGTGAAATTTCATATCATGTAATAGTTTTCAGAAGGGGTGCAAAACAATGTTTTTACAATAACCATTATTGCAAGGATTTCACAACCTTAAGAAATGAATCAGTTTCGACAATTGCTTCGAATTAACAAGTCTCAAGGGCATCTTCAAGAATTGAAAATGATATCCATGTCAATCTTATATGTCACTCCTAAAATCTGACGGGATTTATCTAAATTATATTTCAGTATTTCACGGTCATGTGGTAGTTCCAGGCGTAATCAAGGATCGGACAAAAAATGGATAATATAGGTAAACAAGAACCAAGTCTAAAATAATTGGTAAAGCAAGGACTCACGTGTATTTTCGGGTAACTAGTCGCTGATAATCTCGAAGTAAGGAACCAAGCTCTTTTAGTTGTAAAGTTGCTGGAGTGGACTCTTTCCAGTGTTGACGAAGTGCTTGAGCTGCCATCTTTTCATTGGGATGTATCAGTACAGGATAGCACAACCACACATTCTAAAATACACAGCTGAAAGATTACCTGAAGCACCGAGGCCCGACCATCAACTACATCTCCCTCAATCAATCTAGTTCCTAGTTCAACAAATTCTTGATCTTCTGACTCCTCGGGAATTTGAAGGCGCAACCCTGATGAAACAGATATTCCCATTTTCTTTTGCAATTCAGCAATAGTGGATCCCTCTTGTCCCTTTTCCTGCCATGACTCTCAATTGTTTAAAGAAGTTGAGAAGCTAATTTAACTGCATTGGCGAGAAACACATAAGATGATATGTAGGAGCTCCAGTTACCTTATCCAATTCTCTCTCTGACTCCTTATTTTCAGGAGGATTTCTAAGTTGTGGCACAGAAGACCTCTTGGCTATCGGATCATCTAAGAAATGCAAAAACGAATAGGGTCAGGTTGTTGTGAAAGCATAGAAGTTTCAAGTTCGTTCCCTATCTAGAGTGCTGCATACATTTTTTTCTTTAAATACAAATAAGAGCATTATCAGAAAGCTAAACGGTACACTAAAATTCAATAGATACGTAAAACTTCATAATTATCAATACAAACTTGATAAAGGAAAAGGTAGAAATCAAAGCCTATGATCTATGACCTACACCATGATCAGTTCGTCTAGAGAGACTAAAGACTTTCAACATATAAAATCTATCCAAAGATAGTACTGACGATGCGTGTAAACAGAATGATAATAAGTTGACAAGTTTTTGGAGGTAAAATATCAGTAGAAATAAGAATAAAATACCTTCGGGAACCAACCACCATATATCACCAAAGGTCGATTTTCCATCAAAACCACCAACTAAAAGATGCCGGGCTCCAATACAAGTCATAGAATGGTAAGCTCGAGGAGGAGGGGGCTCATTGCTTATTGGTAAGCGTTTCCATTGAGCAGTTACTAGAATATGAAGAAACAAAAAATTAGCAGAAACAATAACAAAGCAAAGAAAAGTGCACAGCGAGAAAAATGATAAATCTTTGATTTTCGCATTGCTAAATTTTTTTGTGATCCTTGAGCAGTAGACGAATTTAATTAAATGCGTGAGCGAAATATCTACCTCTGTCCAAAATTATAGTGTCGTTATAATAGACATCATAACGACTTAGCCATCCACCAGTTCCATGTCCCCCAAATAACAGAAGCTGCATATACAAACCCATACACGAAAGAAAAGCAACTAGATTATAGACATAGTTAACAAGGAGTAAACAGTAGCTGAAAAAGACATACATAATGTCCTCCAGATGAAACTGTATGACCACATCGAGATGATGGTGCTTGGCCAGGAAGCTTGAGTTGGGTCCATCCAGGTGTTTCACGCTCTTTCTTCCCCAACAAAAGTAAACCACAATAAGATCAACAAACAGAGCATAAGAAAGAAGACAGATTAAGAGGGTATACTACTAGATTCAATGAATTTAAAAACAAAAACAAAAATAAGGATGAACCTTCGTCTATCAGACCCTTCAAAGCCCACAGATCACCCATGATTGGGCCACCACCTCCTGTCAAAGATAAACATATAACACACCACAATTTCAGTTAAGTTATTATCAACGCACGCTAAAAATTATGTGATCATGACCTACTCCTCAGAACCAAATAAAGATCAAACTAGTTTATACATTTATAAGTATGAATCGTTAGGAATGGAAAAGAGTTTCACATTACATATACCATCAGTATGCCGAGTCAGGAAACTTCTTCATTAATGATAAAGTTATTAACTGACAACGATGAGGGAAATCAAACACATCAGCATCCTTAACATTATTTGATGAATGATAAGGCGGAATACCAAATTAACATTCGACTTTGACTTTTATCTTTCAGGAGTCTGCTTCTTGATAACACTCCTCAATTATGGTGATTGGTAAAATAAGGGAAAAATGAGTAACAACATTTTCTTCGTATATGCCAAACACCTTAAACTTATGTAAGGAATACAGAAGCTACCAGAAAGAATCTACAAGTATTTGTATAGTCTACCTCTGCCACCGAAAACAAGTAGCCGTTTCTCAACCATGGTGGCTGTATGACCACATCTAGGAGGTGGCGAAGACCCCGAAACCGACAGCTCTATCCACTCAAGTGACACTAATTAAAGCCAAGAAAGTTGGCATTATCAGCAACTAAAAACAGTTTATTGCAAAACTGAAGTAGATGAGAGAAATAAGGTTTTACTTGTGTCCATTAGATACACATCCGACAGCCACTTTTTACCATCCCAGCCACCACACCTGCCAATGATATAAGTTTAGCTATGCAAGCAGCAAGATTAAACTAAACCAAACAAAGACAATGAACGTCTAAAATTTCATACTTACAATACAATTTTCTGGTTCCCAATAGCAGCAGCGGCAGAAAAATCACGAGGCGTTGGTAAGTCACCGAAGCTGGTCAGTTCAGACCACTGCCATATATCTGCAGCACATGTTAGCCGCCATCATGAATGGAGATGTAATAGAAGTGTCTAAGCAACGAACGAAAAGTTCACACGCGAGTTTTACACAAACGACAATACATACCTGTATCTAGAACCCAAAAGTCGCCCAACCTGAAATTGATTTACAGAAAAAAAGCTATTTGTGGGCAGTGAAGATAGAAAGTAAAGCTGTTATAACTAAAAATACAGCAGTTCGTGTACCTCTTGCCACCAGAACGCCCACCAAAGATGAACATATGACAATCAATTGTGATGGCAACATGAAAAGCACGCGGTGTAGGACCTACTAGTCCTTCGGACACGCTGCCAGTACATTCGGGCTCAAACCAGAGTTTGTTTTCTAGTTGAAAGGATAAAGAATAAACACTCGTAAGAGAACCAATTGACCAATTGCACCTGATATACAATGCTGAATGGGAAACCATATAGTGATATAATCGAGATCGTAAGCAAACTAAGTTTTAACTGATACTCAAAACACCAAGGAGATAAAAATATACAGAGAATATGAAGTAGTAAAAAGAAACACCG